CGACCTTTGACGTCAGTGACGAGACCTGTCTCATACTATAGAGCTCAGCAAGCTGAACCGAATGGTGAAAATCGCAAGTCTCTAGCCGTGTTAGAAAAAAGGTACAGCCATTTTACCCTCGCAGCAGAAAAATGCATTTATATGTATACTCAGTACCGAGAAACAGTATTATCACTGTTACGTGACATCTTAAGAGAGCCTCCGACACAACATCGAACATACTGTCAGCGGGCAAATTCTTTGTTTGAATTATTCACATGTCATTTGAAAGAGCATTCAAAATGACTACCAGCGCCGCGATAACTCTTTCTGGAAGTGTTTTGTTAAGAGACCAGAGACAAAACATTCTGTTGGGGGGCTCGCCGATTAATCGAGAAAGCGTGAATTTTTTTAAATTTGGTTAATATGCCAAAACTAAGATCTAAACCAGTGGGAAATCCACCTCAGATACGATACTTGTGGTAAAACGTGTGTAAAATCATAAAAAGAGATCGTAAAGAGCTCGCAAACGTCTCATTTTGTAGGAGAATGTTTGCTCTACATCTGTAATGACTCAAAAAATCTTGTATGTCCAGATCTTTGACATTCGTATCAAAATTTAGAAAAGTAAGAAAATGATGAAACCGATAGTTATGTGCAATATTTGATATAAAAGCACATCATGCCCATGTTTTAAAATATTCTATGGTATATAAATCGGCGCAAAATTGTCTGCTCTACAGGATGAAGCTAGATTTATTTTGGGACTGCCATATGCGTTGTCTTTTTTAAAAAAACCTGAAAAAAATGCATATTTTAAAATACGAAATTTTTTAGTTTTTTAGTATTTAGTCCTAGTTAGCTAAACATATAATTATGTCTAAATACACGATCTTATAGAGTAAATATCTCTATTTCAAAAGAGCCATGAACCAGTCATAGAAGTTTCATACTTTTTGAGAAAATCATGATCAAAAGATTAGTGAAAATTCACGTTTTTTCGATTAATCGGCGAACGTCCCCAATAGAACGTTTTGTCTCTTAGCAAAATACTTTCAGAAAGAGTTACTGCAGCATTAGTAGTCATTTTGAATGCTCTTTCGAATGATATGTGAATAATAAAAAAAAGAAATTTTCTAGCCTCAGGTTGGTTTTCTCGCGGCTCTCTTAATTCGTTTAGCTAATAATGAAATAAATTACGCTTGATACCCGAAAGTTTTAAAAGATGGTCGGGCCGGGCTGGGCCAAAAACGTTTCTGGATTGGTCAGATCGGCCAGATGAATTCTACGTTTGGTCGGGTCGAGCCGGGCTTGGTCCGGAAACTATCATGATCGGGCCGGGCCGAGCCAAAACTTTTCGGCCAGTGCGGATCTCTGATCTGGAGCACTAGGACAATCTAGAAATGAAGAAGGAAGAGAGCCGGTCTAACAATATCATATATTTCATCAGCCGATACACTAATAAAATATAAACTATCAGCTATGAATCTAGATTAATTTTTGGGAAATTGTGCAGTATAAAAGCAATTTCTAAATGTTTCACATTCAACTGGTGTCATTCTGTTCGAATCTTTTTTAGATGAATCTGAACCGGCTTGAAGTAAAGTATTAACAATATCAGGTGTTGCGCGATGATAGGCGTAGTGTATACAGGAAATGCTAGAGCAAAAAGGCATATCAATTTAACTGAATCAGGTTCAGCTTCTTCATCAACAAAAAAACGTCGAACACATTATATTTTATATGATTAACAGTCTTTTTATCCAATGTGGTTTCTCTCTTCTCTACGGTGATAATCTAGTATAATGGTGTTGTTTTTTTATTGCTCACTACAATTTGTGTCGTTGTTTTTATAGTATCTATGTTTACATTTTAATATGAATATACAAGAGAAGGAAGGTGCACACAGCAATATCTTTGTACATCCACGTAGCAAAAAAATGATAACTTTCATTGTTTATATGCTCCAGTTGATTGAGTATACTTTTTTTCTTCCTGACGAAAGTTTGGCTGACAAACAAATTCTATAAAACTTCAAGACTCCATGTGACTCCACAGGTCTTTTAGTCCCGTGGAGTTTTTTGGAGTCATGTGGAGTCAGTTGACTTGGTGGAGTCCGGAGTCCGCTGTTTCCCCCTTGGATTTATCACCTCGCGAGGTTCCCTCGTCAGACTTTTTAAAAAAATATTGTAGGAAAGGAAAAACTAGAAATGTATGCGGATGTCTTGTTCTTGCCTTCACTCCTTCATAGAAATTAAAATTTTTATAGAAAATTTTATTGATTTATTAGTTTTGAAAGAATCATACACTTACAATTATATATGAACTCGAACTCGAATGTGAAGAGACCGCATCGACTGATGGTGTGAGACGTGATGTATATAGAAAGTCTTGTGTTATACGAAATAATATGGTTTGTGCTAAAAGAATTTATGAATATAGTCAAATAAAAAACATGATTATGCTTTGAGTGTCTCAATTGACGGTTGCGAAATAAATGATAAAATAAAAATATTGTACACATACATGATGGAGTTTTATCTTTTATTGAAAAATAAAATATATTGTTTTTTATAATTATCAATATTTTTGGAATAAAAGAACACGATGGTTAAATCGATCAACTACATACAGGTTTAAGTTTGAATCCAAACCAAGATCAGTTGTACCATTCATTATTGGCAATGAAGTATTGCCAGCAATTGTAATTCCATTGGTAGAACCGTTACAAAACAATTGAATTCGACTATTATATCGATCAGCTACATATAAATTTCCATATTGGAAATAAATTTCCATATATTTTCCCAAATATTTTATGCATAGGTCTGATTGTGCTAAACATTTCAGCTGTTTGTGTTCCTTAGCCAAAACCTACGTCCAAGTTTCAATTCAACTGATTTTCAGTTGTGATCTGTCGTTCTGTTTATGGTGTGATGAAAAAAGAAACTGATAAATCTTTTTTATTCGAAGTGAAACATCGCTAATTTGATTCAGATTAAACTTTGTCAGCTGAACTAAGTATCGTATAAAAATATTTTTTCAACGAAAACTAAATCTTAATTTTCAAGATTCTAATTTTGATGGAAAATATTTTTTGGTAAGATCTGTGTATCTGACTCAGTTTTGACAATGAGTCCGAATACCGCGTTTGTTCTACTCTAAACTTCTTTATAATAGTCAAAAATGGAGAAATATACATGAGTTTAGTGCTATTTCAAAAACAGAAACTTCTCACCGCCAGGGGAATATTTAACACAAAGGTCTAACATATAGCACTTGTATTTCTCTCATATAATGTCTGAATATTTTTGCTTTAGAAAATCGTTTTGAAAAGGCTACAAATTAATATCTACCTACAACAACTCAATGAGCTCTGTCGAGTGACGTCAATAAAACGGAAAAGAAAATGTTGTTCAAGTTCTGACTTTTCGCAGCCTTACAGAGTTTGACCACACCTACTCGATGATTATAGAGGTTTTAATTTTTATTGTGAAGTCATTTCTCTGGATGCTGATTAGCTCCAAAAAATTATATCTGGTTGAGTTTCTGGATCACATGAGAAAATCACTATTTCAAAAATTATCCCTTACCTTCTTTATATTTCACGTTGATGCCAGCGACAGTGATTTTAGAAAGTGATTTTTCCTTGACTTGATTAGTTTGTGCGCTAGGATATGCCAGGCTGAGATGGAAGAAAACAGCATTAGTAACGGAAACTTCATTTAATCTGTCACTCATACGTATGTACCAGTTAAAAACTAGTGCATACGTAGTCACTCACATTAATTTGATTTTGCCACAGCGTTGCAATGGAATATCGTAGAGGCTTCAACTTTTTTTTCCTATAAGAGCAAAGTGTCTAGTACAAAAGTACATAGAAGAAATTGAGAGAAAATGTTTATGAAAGGTCAGAAAAATCTTAGAACAAAAGGCATCGAGAATCTCTGCCACGTGCCAAATTTCGAAAAATCTTCGTCTAAAAGTAATCTTTTTATTTATTTATTCCGAGTTTTGAAATGTAAGGATAGGCACTGTTGTCGTTATAAAAAAAGAAATTTAATAACTGTTTTATAAAGGTCGAAGTGAACACCATTATCACATCATCTGGTTTCATCGATTTTTCATCACCGTCGATTGCAGTTGAAAAAAGAAATTCTACTCTGTGAGAAAAGTTGCCCGAAAATAGATACTTTAAATAGTGAAGAAAGTTTACTGAGTCCTCTGCCAAACGATATTCTTTGGAATAGAACACAGCTTCTGTGTGAGATATTCAGGCAAAAATTTGCTATCGTACGACGTGACCTTCATACGATATTTTTAAGTGGGGACGAAAGAAGGAAAAGATGAACTACAGTCGATTACATACCTTTTAGCTTTTTTGTCCCAACTAAATCAACGCAAGAAGTTCTTTGAAAAAATTTACGTTTCTACCATGGAAAAATACAAAAATAATGGAGAACGTTTGTGTGAGCGATGGTCTCACTAAATCGAATAATATTTAAAAGTAGATTGTTGCTGGAAAGTTGAATCACCTTTTATTCAAAAAACTTAAAAAAAGAGATGAAAACACAAACACAAACACAAAACGAATAACAAGTGACGATGTGTACGATACGCGATGGCGTCTAGAAGTGCTACTAAAAATGAGAAACATACAGTATTTATATATCTAGGTTAACACTAGGTTAGGTTTAGGTTACGATTTTTTATAGGTTTTTAGGTTTAGGTTACAAAATTTTTTATAGGTTAGGTTAGAGGTTATGGTTTTGGTAACCTATTTTTAACCTAAACGAAAAAACGATTTTGAGCGACAGACTGGGATACTCAGGTGGCCGATAGAGTGTGATGTTATTGGTTTAAATAACTGACCATCCATAGAGACGTGTTTATGTGCTTATTCTTTTCTCTCTCCCAATTTCGGTCGTTTAAAATATCTTTAATAAAATTCTGACTGATGTTCTCTGATTTAAATTTAAGTTGAACTAATAACAGTAAAGTATAACAGAATTGAAAAATAAATGGAAGAGAAAAAAAAACAAATTTTACCTCTGTTAAAAGACGGCGAATATACAACAATAACAGAATCACCGTCGAGAGCCGAAGACGAATTTTGGTCTATTTTGAGAAGAATAAAAGATTCAAATGAGTCATTTCTCCCATTCGTTCAATGTTCAATATGCAATCAATTGTTAACCTATAAACCTCAAAACGGGACCACAACTATTAGTGGGCATGTTGCGAACGGTTTGAAAAGTTCAGCAGTTAAAACAACAACAAATTCGACTGATAAATATATGAAGAAAGATTTGAAAGTTACTCCAGATGAAAAACGTTCGATTACAATAGCATGTGCAAAATATCGTGCATTTGATATGCGATTATTTAATAGTGTGGAAGATAAATCTTTGTCGTTTCAGTTATTATGTAAATCATTAGTCGAACTTGGTTATTCTTATGGCACTGCCAAAATTGGCATTCCAACAGCAGCAGCACTGTTACCTGATCCCACAAATATATCACGTACAATTAAACAACTCAGCGAAGAATATCGTTTGAAACTCAAAGAAATTGTTCAAGCTAATTTGAAAACTGTTAGATTAATTGGAATTTCCACCGATTACTGGAAAAATATCTATACATCCGATAACTATCTGACCGTTAATTTGCATTACACAAAGGATGATAAACCAATTACGTTCATGCTAAAAAGGATGTTATTCGTCCAATCAAAAACAGGTGACAACACGAAAAAGGCAATATTTTCCATATTACGTTCGTTCAATGGGATTAATATTATATATGTAACTGATAACGGGTATCTAATTTGGTTTGTGCTTTATCCGGTGAAACACATCTTCGATGTTTTTGTCATTGTTTAAATTTGGCTATACAACATGGTTTGTCTGCTTGTCCACCAATTGAAACTTTATTAAAGTCATGTCGCGAATTATGAAACCCATTTCAAACGATGTGAGTTAAATCATTTATTAACATCATCCTTAAAAATAGATTGTGAGACAAGGTGGGATAGCATTTGTGAAATGTTAGATCCGGTTAATCAAAATATGAAAAAATGTGAAGAGTTATTAGATGAACGAAAGGAAAGTCGTTTTTTGGATTCAATTGATGACAGACTTGTTAAAGATTTAGCTGATTTCTTATCATCCTTTAAAACATGTAGTGAACAATTATCAGCAGATACAGAACCAACGTTATATCTTGTTGTGCCATGGACTAGAAAACTGAGACTATTTTGTGAAGACAAAAGGAGTGATTTACTATATATTGTACAATTAAAGAAAAGCGTTTTGGAAAAATTAGAGGATAAAATGCGGCTAACACATTTACATTACATCGCCACATTTCTTCATCCTGTTACAAAAAATCTTTTGGTAATCATTAAACCCTTTTATTTGTGCTGCGTACGACTTAAACTTCTGTTCACTTTATTTTAGGTACTAAGTGAGGAAGAACGTCAGAATGTATACAGCGATACAAGGAAAATGTTGGAAACAGTTGGTATTATCCCACAGCAACAACAAAGAAAAATAATACAAAAAAGCATAAACGCGAATTTATCACACGAAATATTTTGTCAGTATTCTTTGTTTCATCAAACGATAGATTTATAGGTCATTACAAGGATTATGAAAATTCTTTGCTTCAAAACTTGTGTGTTGTCGATCAAATACGTTTCCTTAAC